AAATACCTCATTCATAGTGCGTCATTACCGAGGAACGCCACCCTAAGGCGACGTAACGCATGTAGTGACATCACAACCGATGCATGCTGGGTTACAAGGGAGATTTTGATTGAGGTAACAAAGATGGCGGCGCAGAGTGCATGTTTTTCCGCAATGTTTAAAAACAACATTTCGTTGGCGATTTTGATGTAATTTCTAAGTTAATCATCAATGAATTGTTTTAATTAAACATTCTAAGTTTGTGTATTTTTAAACAAAAAAGTCAGGAACCGATGATTGCAACAGCAGCGATGAATAACCGTTCAACGCAATGCCATCAGCTGACAATGTTACGGTGATCGTAGCGTTACACAAATAATAGATAGATTAATGAAAAATCACTGACTTTAGTTTTGAAATGCCGTTGTAGAAAAAAAATTTCATTATTGATTTATTAATTTCTTCATACAGATTTTACAAATTTAACAAACAATTATTTATTAAATCAAATTATTTTTTTAACAATACTTACTATAATATGACCTTCTATTCTCATGTTAACTTGTTCGTATAACCATACTTGAATCCTAGATCTCTGTAATTATAAATAATTTCTTTGAAATTAAAACAAATCCTATCGAAGTGGAGTACATATCTCAAACCAGCAAAATTGTACGCAGCATACTCAAGAAATACATGTGAAATAGAACACTGTCATTCAACAAAATTAGAATAGAAAGCTCCTACAATGATATATTTTTTTTGGGTGCTATTTCAACAATATTTCAACTTTCATCACTCAATTGTTTTACTTTTTTGAAATGAGGAAATATTTATGTGATAAATATATAATGCCATGTTGTTTTTACTTAGGTTGATGTCAACAGATACGAGTGATTAGCGCCAGACTAGTCTTGCATTGATACAAAACTAGTATCAGTACTCATTTTTTGTTGACACCAACCTAAGAAAAAATATTTAAACATTAAAAGCTACAAGAAATTGTAGCCATCAAATCATAAGGTCCGTAGTGTTTTTTCATTTTACTTAAATTTGTTTTGTTAATTTTTAATGAGCTGTGGTTTATTTGCTAGTCATACAGACAAGGGTAAATGAAGTAAAAAAAATTGCAAAAATATGGGATTACAGGATACCTGGAATTTTGTTTGTATTCTTGAAAACCACTGTACAAGATAAAAAGCAGCCACTTTTACTACTGTATTTTCACTGATTTTCCATTGCAGGCATGATTTTTGAAGTTGTAGTATAGACCAATGGTGTTGATTTTGCTGCATTATCATTTTTTTAAAAGCTTTTAACAGACAATTTTTTGATGACGCTAACGTAGTTGCAATTCATTGTGTTTATTCTTTGTAACGAATTATCTCAGATGATTATACCAGTGTTCTCCCCACATAGAACAAAGCATGGCGGTACCGCCATGCTTGGCGACCCGGCCGCCACGCTTGGGCTCGGACCACCATGCTTACAACTTCACCACCATGCTAATAGGATGCATTGTTTACATTCTTTTGACCCACTCACTCATAGCACTGCATAAATTATCACCGTCTACGCCACGGCGGTTTGAACTTGCCGGGACAAATTAAACAGTCCCATTGTTAAACACGTGTGAAGTACAGACGCTGTCAATGGGGAACAAATTGTCACTCAAGTTGCAAACACCGAGATCTAAACATGTAAAGGAAAAATAGGTGATGCCGCCCGGCTAAAACGTACAATCACCGCTAGCACAGCACAGAAACGGAAGCGTGTAGAAACACGGAAACGGCGCGAGGCTGGTTTTGATGAATCGTGGAAAAAGACATTTCCCTGGTTAAGGTCAATTGTTCAGGTAAGATTTCGTAATTTTAGAAATAAAATGCCAGTGTGTGTATGTTTTGCCGATCGTAAGAACACCGAACATGGTAGGCCTACACCGATTTCAATCAACATCTTCGACATGAGGCTGGTATAGACACGACATGAAAAAAAAACATCACTCGTTACTGTCAACTTTTTTTAGATTATTTATGGATATCTTCATAGATTAATGGGTATACGTATGTTATAATTTGTCCAAGCAAAAAAAAAATCGAATTTTGTAATCTTCCGGTCACATGTTGACCTGTGTAGGTATTTCCAAGATGGCGGCCTGTCAACGTCTTGCGAACGACAG